CAGTGTGAGCTGTGAAATTTTGCAAAGGCAGCAAATGCTAGAGGTACACTGAGACAGGCTGAGGGTCTCTGGAGACTGTAGGAGCTTAAGAGGCAACAGCATGGGAGGAAACAGCATAAAGCCCTTTGGTAATTCAAACAGAACTGAATGAAAGAGCAATGCACAACATAAGGCAGTTTGCAAACACTCTGAGGGATTTTACTCCTCTCAGCTCCAAGCTAGGGTTGCAGTTGCTTCATTTCGCAACTGTCTCTATGAAAAAGCTGAAAGGTTGGGGGATTTTATGTAACTCAACAAAGAGACTAAGACAACAGACCAGCTTTCTCGGGCACAGCAGCCACAAATGCTGGGGGATTTTTGACTGCTGCCACGGAAACATAATTTCTCAGTTAATAAACAACAAAACGAGAAGGAAAATACGCAAAAATTCCTTCATCAGCATTTTAGCCTCTTAAGCAGAAAGAGTCAGCCATGGTTTTAAGTACAGGTTAATGCATGGGCCAACATTATGTACCATCAGGTAATTTAGCAGAGACCACAGCCAGAAGAGGAGAACTCTGGGGGACTCACTGGAGGTGGGTAAAATGGTAGCAGAGACTCAGAGCTGACACATGCAAGTGGAAGAAAATCTGAACTGCTCCCCACTGCCCAATTAGCTGATGTGTTGCACTCATGGCTATCACACTGATCATAAATACTACCCTGCCAACTTGTGCTTCTCCTGTCTGCTGGATTGCCTGTTTTGTCTCTGTCTTCATCTGAAACTGAATGCTCCCTTGAGTTGAAGGCTATCTTTTTAGATACTGCAATCCAAATAAATAAAATAAAATATTCCTGGATACTAAAAAAAAGGCAACAGTGGAAAAACTTTTATTCCAGTCATCTTTGCAGAAACAAACTGCTCAACCCACACTGGCAGAAACAGTTGAAAATATTTTAAATATTACAATAGCAACTTTCAATACTTATCCAGAATGCCACGTTCACACAACCCTATCTCAATACTGTACAGCTTAAACAGAAGACAGGATGAGAAGCATGGAGGAAACATCTTTCCTTTGATTGTAAAATCTACGAAATTCAAAAGGCCTAGAGAATACGAAAAGAAGCTTGATAAATTCCTCCTGTTTATTCACAATCACAACACAAGAAGTAAACAACTAGACAGCACGAAGATTAACTAATGAAAAGATTTGCTACCTATCATAAAACTTACAGAACTCTCCACATAACATATCCCAACACAACATACACCTGAAACTAAAACTCATTAACACAATCACAATTTCTATGGTCAGATTTGGAAGTGTTATGAACACACACATTTGAAGAAATAAGCCACTGAATACATGTTCCATTCTCTCTTCTTCCTAATAAAATTTGCCTAAGATTTTCAACAAAAAAAACCCAAAAATACAGACAAACATTAATAAAAACCCAAATAAACACCACCAGCCCCAAAAAAACACAAACAACCCAATCTTTCAACTCTTGGTTGTGAATGGTACCTTATAGATGCATCTCTAACCTTCTCTTCCTTCACTAAACAGATGCCTTCTTAGACTACAATTCCTGTGTAGCATCCTGCCCCTTACTCTTTACAGTGAGTTCATATTTCATGACAGATCACTCCTGTGTGCTTACAGTTCATCATGGACAGTGAAGTTTGATGCAAGGGCCTGGCCTACAGAGGGTTTGAGAATTAGAGGTGCTCCAACAGCGCAAATCAAAACCATGTAAGTTTACAGATTTAGAGGTAGAGGTGTTTTCCTTTCATTGATGGAGAAGAACTGTTAGTGGGGTGAAAAAAATTTCTACAGAATGCACATGTCCATCCCTTAATCCAATTTTATTTAAAGCAGGCAGGACACACCTGGATTCTCAGCTACACAGATATTTTGCTAGTCAGTGCGAACTGATGAAGAGTTTGCATGTCTAAAAGCTTAAATAATTTTTACAATTATATTTGCTGACCTATGAAAAGACCTCTCTCTACAAATTCACAAATGTCTCATACCATCACAAGTATAACAAAGCAGCAATAAAGCAGCTTCCTTACATAGGAGGAAAACAATTATCACCACTCAACTCAGTGGGAAAAACAAAAGTCCAAACCACAACTGACAGGTATCTCCTGTGACAAAGAAGAGATGTGACATTCACAAAGAGGAGGGTGTGTGTAGGTGTGTATCTTTTCCTTGAAGCCAGCTGCTTCAAGGCTGGCTGCTTCATTAGCAATAGAGTCTTTTTCTAAGATTGTTTGAGCCCCAGAAGCATGGATTTGGATATTAAAGCAATGCCTGTGTTCCTGCATTCAAATGCTAACTAGCTTTTCCTCCACCTAAACTCATATGAGATTGATACAGGAGCAGTTTCCAATACAACTTCTAATTCTCCTCTCTCCCTCACTTGCTCTCATTCCCCTTTTTAATTACATTCAGGATGTTTTCTTATTGATTTACTTGTCTTTGTATTTAGATGCAGGGATTAGAAATTTCTCTTATACAGCAATTCAGTTTTCCATCAAAAGAACCCTCTCATGCTATAACCCAGGGGGAAGTGAGAAGGAGCTTTTGATGCATGAAGCAGGTGGAGGCAAGATGGTATTTGGAGATTGCATTGCTCTGTCTTAGCATCCCCTGAAGCACTGCCGTGTGATTCATTGCTCACTGCCACAAAAGCCACTCCTCTCTTGTGGAAGCAACTGTATTCACCAAGTGTTCAGCATAGATATCATACAGCACCACTGCTCAGATGGGTAGGACTCCTGGACAGCAGAAAGGGTGTCATATTTCCAGAAAACAGGAAGGGAAAAAATAACCCCACCAACAAACCACACCCTGGAAATGTCCAGATCTCCTGATAATTCCTTGAAGTTGCATTCAGTTTGTGACTTATCAGTCCCGGGGACTCAAAGTCAGCTTGGAAGGAGTCTACAAAAAGCAACTAAGGAAAGCAAACCTATTGCCAGGAAGCTTACATTCACTCTGCAAAGACAAACTCTCCTTTTGAAATTTTCAGGGTCTGAAAAATTAAAAGAAAATATTTAAAAGTACCAATTTAAATAATGCAAAGTTTCAGGGGCCTCAATGTGCAAATAGAACAGAAAATCCTGAGAAAAGGAGTATTTCTCTGGCTTATTTCTTGCACTTAGTATCTATTTACATTTCTACAATGTCCTTTCCAAAGAGAGTCTCTAAGACTCCACACTCCCCTGTGAAGTACAGCATGGATTAATCCTGAATTGTCCAAGTGGAAAACTAAGGTTCAGAGTCCAAGAGCTCTACCTACTAGGTCTACCTTTACTAGGTCTGAGGTTTCCTCCCAGACCCTGAGAAAGATTCTGGGAGGTTCTGACTTCTCAACACCTCTGAGTCTCCAAGCCCCACAATAACTCCTATTTCACTGCAGAAAAGATGCAGAAGTGCCCCAAAACACACTGAAACGCTCCCACAAATTAGTGTATTTCCCCAGCTGACCAAATGCTGGATGCCTTCAGTTGTACTGATAATGAATTACATTTCCATCACTCTGGGAAAACTCCGAGAGCAATCCTGCTATTGCCTTTCTGCAGAGCTCAGGTGATGCTGCAAATTCAGTATTAGGACAGGATTTGCCTGTTTGTTACACTATTCAGAGCAGATTGGTTGGCAATTACGTTTAAAGTATAATCACAGTGCCATTTGTACTTGCTAGGTAAAGAGGTAAAAGTTTTTTAAGGCTTTAATATCTTGAAAAGTATCAGGGTAAGTGGAAATGACTGTGTTCTCTCTTATTAGCTGCATGGTTATTTATACTTTTGCAGATTACCATGGTACAGTGCAATTAGGCTTTCTAAGTACTGTTCAAATTGAGAAGTTTCAAGAGCTCTACTAAATAATTAACCCTTAAATACATTTGCAGGGATAAACCTGCAGCAAATGCCCAAAGTCTACTCCAAACTGAGGCTTTAAAATTAGCTGGGAAGAAAGCAGTACAAGAAACCATTTGCCCAGAAGCTGCTCACATTGTAGCAGTGGCTACAATGCATTGACAGCTCCACCAACTACCCTTTGAGCAGGTTTCACAATAGCTATAATACATTAGGAAAATCTGAAATAAGGCACTTAGTATCACTTCTCACCAGCCCCTTGCTGCCTTATTTGTTGTTGGTGGGGTTTTGTCCTTAGGGTAAAAAACACCTGACAGCAATTCTGTTAAAGGTATACCCTTTCCATACCACAGGCAGGATGAAACAATTTGGTGATTTCAAACATCAAAAACTGACCCATTCACAGGAGTGAGTTTGGGGGCTGAGGGGACTTTCAGTTATTTCTTTATCTTAAATACAGACACATACTGACAAACACGCACTGTCCAGCAGCATGCTCCCCCAGGCCAGGCCAGTCCATCCCCAACGCCAGTCTGGGAACATGGCAGGTACAAGACACCATTCAAGTAAATCCATAGTGAAGAAGACAACAGCACCTCACTGTGGTATCTCTAGTTCTTTAATAGTTAGTGTCCTTACAGCGCAAGGCAACACAGATTCACTGCCAAGATGACCATCTCAGCTCACAGGGCTGAGAAACATGGCTAAGATCAGCTAAGATTATATCATGCACTGTGTTGTATACCATCTCAGACACTGCTCTAGTAAATATGTACCATCTATAGACTGTTCTCATTGCCAGCCTCACAGTATAGACTGTGAGGAATGAGATTAGTCTAAGGACACTCAAAAGTGAGATGAAACCAAGCCCCTCTGTGTGCCAGGGAAGTGCCATTACATCATGAAATCCCCTTGTTTGCAGATCCCATTTCATTAAATGAATGTGTTCTAAATCATGTATTCCTTTTCCAAAGAGCAACTTCAGTTATCTCAGATTCACTCCCAACTCCTGCTCTGAAGAACTCAGACATGCCCCATCACCCCCCTGTCCCTGGCCAGCCCCCAGTTTTACAAGAGACACAGTGCAACCCCTCCATGCCAGTTGCTATGATTTCCACAATCCACGTACCTCCACAGTGAACTTTCCGTAACACTCCCCAAGTTGAAGTCGTAGAGCTTTGTCAGAATGAGAATCACCTAGGGAAGGGGAAGGGAGGGAGGGAGAGAAAGGGAAAAGAAAAGAAAAAAAAAGTTTTCCTTTAGATTTCGTAACAATACACAAGGCATCTGAAGACACCCAAAGGAGAGTTTAGCATTTATCCATTAAGTTGTGGTATTATAGGATAAAGTAAGTTTAAAAAATAAAAAGGAAAATCATTAGCTTAATGCACCATGTAACCACTAACACTTATTTTAATCTCAAAATGTTCTGCATTTGAAATAAAACATGCCAACAGGAATTAATTACTACAGTTGTTCAAGGTCAGGGATGGAATCAGATGTGCCCTTGTTAACTCAACAGCCCAATCCAAAATTACAGTCAGCTTGTTTTGTTTCTCAAAATGCTACCACTAATTAGTGAGTCTCCATGGAAAAAACTGACAAGTTTGTTAATGTAGATCCCCATTCAGCAAAACAGACCACTTTGCCCAGAATGAGCTCTGCTGTTCTCTATCTGCTGTCACTGACTCCAAGAGCATGGGAATTTCTACATGCTATCACTTTTCTGCAGTGGTAAAAATAGAGGGACACACAGCATGACATTCTGGTTAGAAATTGAGCAAGACAAAAATTCAGCTGTATCTTTAGTGCTCAAGGAGAGTCAGAGCCTCCAAGACCCACTGATTAACTTTATAGATGGAACAGTCCCTAGTCATGCCCCTCAAAAACTGAGGTCAGAGGAGAGGGGAGTTAAGCAGTCCATGGGGGACTATATAGGAATATAACTTCCCTCTGGTATCCCTGGTGCTCTGACCTCAGATTTCACAGGTAAATGTAATCATTCTAGTTAGAAGCTACATTGTCCGATACCTTCCCTCCTGGAAAGGCAGTTATGCACTCTGATAACTTAGGAGCCTCAGTGCAAGCTCACAGCCTCAGATGGGATGGGAACCTCTGCAGAAAGAATTGAGCTTTCTCAGTGGAAGTTCAGTGTTTGAGAATCTGCTCCTTGCTTTTTTAGCACAGCTAATGCCACACTGTTTATTCCCCTGGATTCTACAGGACCAGCCTCAAGAAGAGCTCTGGGGCATCTCTTCATTTTTGTTTTGCATCATTTTAACATTTCAGCATGGTTACCTGCTTGCAGGAGTCAAGCACAGGATAGTTTCCCTTCCATCTGCTTGGGCTGTGAGAGCATCTAGGGAAATATTTAGTAAATACTCAGGGAGAAGGGGTTGTTTTCTTAACAGCTACTTCACAGTTTGACTAAAAGGTGAGACCAAATGAGAGATGTGACCCAAATGGCTGAGTTCATCAATATTTTCCTATGCAGAGGGATCTTTGCTACTACAAAAGTCAGGCTTCCCTCCCTCTTCGTCCTCCCACAACTTTCATTTGTGTTTCCCAGCTGAAAGGCTACTGGGTGAGGTGTTTAAAGCTTTGCAGGAAAATGCCAAAGGATTAATCAATATCACAACTGCTGCAGCAGCTGGTTAAGAGTCAGCATAATAGCATGGAAAAACCTGAAAATTGCAAGGGACCTTGATACGTGACTATGCAGACAGTACCCAGCTTAATGGATTTCAAATAGATGCTCTGAGCATTCCTCTCTCTACTGGATTCACTTTCACCATCCCCGATTGCATTTTGTCCCTTTATTTCCCCACGCAGAGACCTTTAGGAGGAAGATAAAAGTCAAGCTGTTTCCAGCAGGGTGTGAAAAGAAACCTGCCAGCCAGATTTTGAGTCAGCATATGGGAGTCCATGTCAGCCTAAACCAATGCTATGCCATGGGGAATAAGGCTAATATCCCTTTTATCACAACTTAAACCCTGCACACACCTTTCCATACAAACGGGGAAGCTCCAGCTGCAAGCTGCAGCAAACAAGATTTGTATGGTTTGTGTACCTCCTCCACTTACTCCAACTGTGGGAAGCAGGGCAGCCTACTGCAAGCTAAAACCCGATGAGTGTGACATTTTTAGGATGTTCCCTAGGCACTCGGATAGGACTCCTCTCAAGAGTCTCCAGGAAGCTAAGCACCACAGCACAGGCCCTGCCTTGCCTGAAATTAGATTCTTCTTGTTGCTCACAATTGTGGTCAGGTTTCACAAAGTTAGTTTTCCAGTTTGAGTCTAATCACATTAAAGACAGCTGAGTTCAGTGGATCCTGGATCCATTCCTAAACTTAAAATCTCTGTGTCCTGGTCAAATTTCAACAGAGGAATTCTACCTTAAATTGCAAGTACAACTAAAGGCAACATCCATACCCTCCCAGCTCTTTGTGTCTCTCATCCCAGATCTCCTATAACCTATATTTTTAAAGATGACACTTAGCTGTCATAAACCCTGCAAATCACAGGATAACACCAGCTTTACAGAAGTGGGTTGAATCCTACTCAGCTCCTGGGTATAAATTCAAATTAAAAGCACATTGTTTAGTACAACTTTTCTGGATTTTCTCCCAGGATGACTAAAATATATCTCTGCTTGTTGTTAATGCATGGAAAGCAACATCATCACCATCCCTTTGCAGTATCTCAGAGAGTCCCAGGAATCAGCAGGAGTTGCCCAAGGCAATGGGAATTGCAGTCACCTGCAGCAACCTGTCCATAAAATCATTCACCACATATGCCCAGGCCAGACAACAGCAACACTCCTGCACCACAACCCCAGGTGGCTTCCACTCTGTCCCCACTTGCTTTGAGACAAGGCACTTCAGATTCAATAAAGTTAACTCTTGCAATGGTTTGGGAATTTGAAAACCAGAGAGGATATGAGAGTCCGAACACACACCCATCCAAAAAAAAAGCTGTGAAAGCACATTCCTCACAAACACTGCCTTGTGAGACCAGGGAGCAAACAGAACTGCTAAAGGAACTATCACAGGCAGTTAAGAGACAAAGCAAAGCCTGAAAGGCACAGCTGGTCCCCAAGCAGTTTTCATGGGGTGTGTTTGACACAGCATTGCAGAGGAGACTTCAAACCCTTTCAAGAGGCTATTCTGAGGCTTCCATATCAGGCTGCCCCAACTGTGCTAAGAAGAAACTAAAAGCAGGGGCATCAGGGACAGATGTGGGCAAGTGCCAGATTTTCTAAGACATCCTGTTGTTTGAATGCTTTAGTTGAAAAAGAATGAAACGAAACATAAGGAAATTTGACATATTTTCTAAAACTGAATTCTGACAGGAGAAAAAATGAAAAAGGAAAAAAACCCTCATTGATTCAAGCTGAGACATTTGATTCCAGTTTCTGCTTTGCAGTTGAAGAAGCTCAGCTTGTTTTTGTCAACACTAGCAAATAACCCTGGTTTTTCTGTGCCAGAGTAATTTTGCATGAAAATCTTGATGGTTTCCATTTTAAAAGCTAAATTCAATTGAAAATTGGAGATTTCGCATGTAATGTACTATTTCAAAACAAAACCATTTTCTTCCCCTGAACTGAGAGAAATCTAGAATTGCCACGCCATAGAAAATGCCCACTCTGCAGCCTAAATGAAGAGGAAAACATTGTGCTCTGGGGAAAAGAAATACAAATGAATAAAGTTCCAAGTGGTTCAGAAATGACAAAAACTTACACTTAGCCATTATTTAATCAAAATAAAGAAAACACATTTATAGTGCCAAATTAAACTGTTTCTATTCATCAAACCAATCTTCCCCAAATTAATTCCAAGTCAGCTCAATGCTGAACTGCATTTATCTCTGGAATCACTTCAGGGAATACAGCTCAGATATGAAATTTCCCCATCTCCTACAGGCCACGCTCCACACACCACACTGTGCTTCCCAGGACACCCCAGGGGCCGGTGTCCCTCAGGACACCAAGCAGCTTAGCTGGCTGAGAATGAAAAAAAGGGAAAGACAGTCTGCAGGACAGAGTGAGGAAAAAGGGAAGGCTGAATTACAGCTCCCTCAAGGCAATACAATCCCTCTGGAAAATGCAATTTCAAGCTGAGCTTACACAAAACTAAATGACCTGAATAATTTAATAAATTGGTTTGGTTTTGTAGACAGAAGTGGGGATGGAGAAAGGATAATGAGAAAAAATATATTTTCCTTGGAACCAAATAATGTTCCAATCCTACAAGAATTTCCTTATGCATTTTATTTTGCACACATGCCCCTCCACAGTGCATATGGATTGCTTTTTCACTGAAACTACACTGTATATTGAATAACTTGCATGACAAAAATGCCAGCTCCTGACAATTATTTACTTTCAATGGTCTTCAATACAGATTAAGAGCCTCTGGCACTGAAGAATCCTTCCATGATGTTGTATAGCATGCTAAGCCACTAAATCCAGATTTAATATGATGGACTGCTTCTTTAAAATAAGGCCAGCAAGTAGCCAAGACTGCTCAATTCAGCAGCCTTAAGTCTTGACACAACTTGGCTGGCATGAAAGCAGAAAACATGTAACCAGAAACAGTAGCCCGTGTTTCATTCCATCTTGAAAACACATCCCTAAAGGGCTCCCTATTGTTCAGATGATTATTAGAAATCTCTGAGCCCATAAATCACAACAGTACTCAGAAGCTCTTCAGAGTATTTGGTGGCGCAAACAACTTCCATGGCTATAAAATTTTACTGTGAGGGAAAATTACTTCAGTTCATTAAACCAACCTCCAGATCTTGCCAATTCTAGACTGGCAAAGCACTTTGCATATACCTCACAGTGGAATATATGACACCTGTTTCCCACAAATTAGACTGCAAAGGCACTGCAGTTCCTATGCCAGGTTGACAACCAACTTCAGAACAACCAGAAAGTGCCACACCAATGGCAGTCATGCTCTTGTATCAGGGAACACTCATATTAGAGACAGAAGAAAAAGCACAGCAGCCAGAGAAAGTAGGCAAACATTTCAGGTAGCCACCTGAAAGGCCAGCATTGACTGACTTCATGAGATTCATCTCTTTTCTAAATGATCCTGCCTTTTCAGCACAGAGATTAACACAACTCATCTGCAGCCCTGTGCACATATTTACCAAGTGAATTAATAACAAATAAATGGATGAGCACTGGGCAGC